CCATCGGCTAGTCTAGAGACTGAGATGTGCATTCATTCCCATTGCTATGAAGCACGCTGCGATTTTCAATTGAGTGCATCATTCCGCATTGCTTATGAGCTCGTCCGAGTCCAAGACGTGAGGCATCACACTCCCATTGCTATGAGCACGTGCGAGTCCAAGACTGATGTTCATCAGTTCCCAGTGCTATGAGCACGTGCGATTCCTAAGATTGAGTGCAATCATTCCTCTTATGCAGCCACTCGATGTCAAGACTGAGGTTCATTCATCCATTGTTAATGTGTGAGCACGTGCGATTCAGACGAGCTGCATCATGTCCCATTCTATGAGCACGTGCAGAGTCAAGTACTGAGGTGCATACACTCCCATTGCTATGAGCACGTGTGAGTCCAAGACAGGTGCATCATACCCATTGCATTGAGCACGTGCGAGTCCAAGACTGAGGTGCATCATTCCTATTGCTATGAGCACGTGCGAGTCAAGACTGAGGTTCATCATTCCCATTGCTATGAGCACGTGCGATTCCAAGGCTGAGGTGCATCATTCCCATTGTAATAAGCACGCGCGATTACAAAACAGAGGTGCATCATTCCCATTGCCATGAACACGTGCGATTTCAAGAGCAGGGGCGGCGGCCGCTCGGAAGGTTGAGGTCACAAGGCCAGTGCCTCGCGCCTCGCCTCGCCTCGTGCGTCTGTTCCCACGAGCAGCCCGCGCGCCTCGGCGTAGAAAGTGCAGGCGGCGCGGGCGGAGAGGGCGCCCTCGCAGACGCTGCGATCGCAGTGGACGGGAACAGCGCAATCAAGAGCCAATGTGTGTGGAATAATATGGAGGATTAAAGTTGTACATGCCCTCAAATACAGAAATTTAAAATCAATTAATTAATCACGCGTAGACTGCATTTAACATAATTATAATTACACCGTTAAATTAATTGCAAATCGATTATTTGTGACTAAATTTTAAATTCTAAATCTAGTAACAATTTAAGTAGAATATGTAATTGAAAAATAAAAAAGATCAGAAGTAATCTGTATATTTATTTAAACTTTGCCAAGTGTCCTGTACAAATATTCAGTTTCTGTTTTCATAAAATTTCATTTCTTTATTTGGAACCTGCTCTATAAATTAGTAAATTTTGGAGAATTCGAAATGCAACAAATCCCTCCAAATCTATTCAATGCAATTCCGTAAAGGATAGAAGAAAATGTCTCTCAGAAATACTTTCATTACCGACTTCATTCTGAGTATGGGTATTCTAAATATTTTTATTTGTGATATATTCAGTGGAATAAAAATTTGTGAAATTCGCGTAGAAAAGTCAATCAATAATGTCCGTGTACTGAACCTAATTTTGTCATTTCACTACATTCAAACAGTTTTACGTCTTCCACCACGTTAACACAGTGCATAGGTTTGACCAATTTGAACATATTCTCCCATCCACCAATAGTCCATCATTAGCCCATTATTAGTCTATCGTTAATCCGTCATTAGTCTATCGTTAATCCATCATTAGTCCATCGTTAGTCCATCATTAGTAATCATTGGCCATCATTAGTCATCATTAGCGATCGTTAGTCCACCATTAGTCCATCATTAGTCCACCATTAGTCCATCATTAGTCCATCATTAGTCCTCCAAACCATTCTCGGTTTTTTGGACACCTGCTGGAATCGAGTTCTTAGGTGAACTGCTTTGGCCTCTGACAACTGGTTTCCTGTTTTCTTCTGGTTTATTTCTGGCGAGTTCCTGCCAAATTCCAAACCATTTAAAAACGAATCTCGCACCGCGCGCGATTGTTTCGGCTCATTTCCTTCCGAAAGATCAGTTCCCGAATTAGGATGGGGACACCGTGGAGGTGTACTTTTCATTACCCATTCATAATTGGTATATGATGGCGGAGAGCCAGTTTTTAATCTTTACACATATGCATATAGACATATAAAAACAAATGTCCATCATACGCTCAAATATGTTAATAGAGTAGACCCTCATGGACGCTAGGACGCTATGACGTATGGACGTATGGACGCTAGTAGGCTGGCTTCCTATACCGAAGTTCGCGAGATCGTTCAGGCAGTAGGGTCGTAGCGATCTCGAAAGGAAGGATAGCGGGTTCGAGTCCCGCCCTGGCATGATTGTGTTTGTGTTCGTCCTTTCACCCCCTATCATCACCATATTTGTCACTTTGCATATTTGAATTGAATAGTTTATTTCATAAATCAGTCAAGCTTTAAAGATGATTTTTTTTCTGAAAGGGTACATGCATTTTTTATTCAACCAAAATTATTGACACTTATTACATTAACATTCAGCACAAAAATAGTCTGGTTTTTGTTTTCGTCTTCCTCCTAATTGGAACACTTGTTTCTTGACTTTTTTGAAATACACGATTCAGTTGATACCGTTCTCTTGGAGAGTCTGCGCACTGTGATGCTGCGAGAAGAGCACGCACGGCGGTGCGGCGTGGCGACGCTTGGCGGGGTGGGGCGGGGGGCGCGGGCGGCGGCGCGGGCGGGGTGCGGCGTGGCGGGGCCGGGTGGGGTGGTTAGGGGTGGGGCGGGGTGACGGGGTGGGAACGGGCATGACGGGACCGGGGCCGGGGCTAGAGCCAACCCACGGGGTTTGAGAACTGAGGGGGGAACGCGATTATTCCCGACTCCACCGCAAGTCTCGATCCCAGTGCTGACTCGGCACTTGGCGGCTAGTCGCGCCCGCGGCAGGCGGGGGCTCGCGGGCGCGGGGCGGGGCTGGGGGCGAGGAAGAGAGCAACAAGAACGGCTTGGGATTTCGCGAACGAAACGGGCGAGCTCAGAAATCTAGGAAGGGGGCAGAAATCGTGGAAAGCCTTGTGGGAGTTCATGGTCGTTGCTGGAAAGCAGCCTGGCAAAAGAAATTGTCGCGACTGTGTCAAGGTCCCCCCCTCTTTCGCGAACCGCGTTCGCACAGCTGGTGTGGGAGCTGGGTGGAGAAAGCGATTAATATTGCCGTTTGGCTGAGCTGCCCCTTTACTTTCACCTCTCTACATATCTACCGGAGATGGTGGGACATCCGAACGCGACTTGCAAACTGTGCTTACAAGATAACGTAAGGATGCAAGATGTTGCATCCAAAACAGTGCCGGCGCTAGACATGGGCAGATCGCGCAATCGCCTGGGGTCCCACCCTTCAAAGGGCCCGATGAAGCGAGTCATAGGGAAAAAATAATAAAAAATTGAAGCATTGCATTTACTACTTTTATCAATTGAAAAATACATCTATGATCAAAATATAAAACTATTAATATAAAACTATATATTACATGATATTAGTTGGTGCCATTGAATCTCAAGATCCACGATGAGTGAACGATTAATTTAATATAATATCTATTATTATGAGCAATATAGGTAAACAGATTCACAATCTTTGCATCATGTATACGTTTGTAAAAATAAAATAAAATAATATGGCCGATGTTAAAAATAAAGTTATTAATAAAATTATTGTACATCGCTGACAAACACTAACTTCTCTTAATAATAATCATAATGACGTATATGTGTCTTTAAAATAACGAGAGCTACATTTACTATATGTATGTATCTATGAAATGGAAAAATGTATGAAATCAAATTATGCTAACATTAAAGTAGGTTGTAAGGAAATATATTTTACCGAGAGATTTTATTAAACTTTAACGAAACATCTTTTAGCATTTTAAGCCCATAGTGGAAGTTGTAAAATTTGATAAATACTTTTACTTAAAGCTATTAATTAAAATATATTTCCAAAAAGCTTTCGTATCTTAAACGTAATTTTTGTTATTTGTTGAAATAAAATAACTCGTATAGTTTCTTGATAGAAGTTTCACATTTTTTATTTTTCCGGGAGGGGGAGGGGCTAAGTTTCAGCATTGCCCGGACCCAAAATTGTCTAGCTACGGCACTGTAATTTTTTAAAGAAAACCTAAACTATACTAGGTTCATTCAGAAGGATATGAATAAAAACGGAATGGTTTTACAACGTGCGTATGCAGGCTTTTTGAAACGATTGAAGTTTTTGATTTTGAATAATATGGATTTTTAAGTAAACTTTGGATTTTTTATGTCGAAAATAACTTGTTCTAGAAAAATTTTGGGTTTAATTCCTTGATTTGCATCATTGCCAGCTTGTGTACTTTCACTTGGAAGTTCGCTTTCGACCCCCTTCACTCTCTTCACCAACAGGAAGCATTGGGTCAAGGCGCCACTACGACTGCACTTCCAGATCATCGAAACTTAAGCTGCACCTCCCCTGTTCGGTTCCTGGAGGGTTTACTGCCCAGTAACTTCTGACATACCGGGAGAAAAGCATACATAACAGTGCAAAGCGTAATAGTTCAAAGGCTCTGGGATGAATGTATTAAATCAAAAAGACGACAATGTCACACTCTGTACATTGTTCCAAAAAATAAATTTTTGTCATTCTAAAATTTGATGTTAATAGAAATAGTTTCCAAAATTCAACGCCTTTCATGAATTATGCTAAACATATCACTTCTAATGGCGGATTTATGTCCTACCTTTTGATACTTTTTATCAAGTTTCGACATTTTTAATCCTAGCTCTGCCAGCTGCACACGTGTCTCTTTTGTAACAAATAGGCTATAATTGCCGGTAGAATCGTATTACAAAACTTCATAATCTAAACTATATCTCCATTTACGTGCTTTGAGAAAGTTTTTTTGAGATATCTCAATTACTTTAATAATCATATGACTATCAGATGTGCTAATGAAATGAAAGGGCGACATTACAGAATACCTTTAAGTCAAATACAATTCTAGGCAACACTTTCCTTTATTGTGTTTTACAGCCAATTTATCACTTGAGTAGCTACTATTGAAGGCAGTCGAAAGTCATCACCACACTGCACTCTTCTGTCATATTTCTAAGATATGTTATGAATATAATTGTTTGAACAATTAACCCATAAATTATTTATGGGACATGTTTCACTATACTTTTTGATTTCAAAATAAACTCACAATGACCGCAACATTGTTTTTGAAAATTCATACAAAAAAAGTAGTCTTGAATATTTAGGAAGGTATCTTGCAGGAAAACATTTCACGATATTTATAATTCAATCCTTAACTAGCAGTCCAGCAACCAATATTCGATACATGAGTTTGGAATGAAATTTCAATTTGAAACTGGATTTATAACAGAATCATATAGGCTGAATTAATAATGAAATTTAAGGAAATAATCCGTCACGAATACTAAGCATAATAAATTGAAAAACGCGAAAATGTAGTAAAAAGGTTGTATTGATTTAAATGAAAGATGAAGAATCAAAATATATTATTCGATGTTGTCAAGGTAAATTCATATTAAAATGTCATATATAAAATTAAGACTTCTATACAATTACTTAAGTGCGATGCAATGCAATGCTAGATCCAGATATTTAAATTAATATCATTATAAAAATGTTTTTAAAAATTCCATATCTCTATAAGTTTAATTAATTTATCC